TTTTGGGCTTGGCTTGGAGATTCTGTTTCTGGAAGAATCACCTTTCCCTCTTCTCTTCTTTGTATTTCCCCTCTCCTTACAGCAAAGATTGTCTGTTTTTAACAAATGGCTTCCTTTGCAAAGAGACAGAATATATCAACCTTAATATTATGAATTCACCAAATGATAGGCATATACATTTTAGCACGAACATCCAATAAAAATAAATACATCTGCAGTGAACATGGTAAATTATATGCGAACTTACACTATAATAATAAACAGGAAACAGCAGCATCTGAATTTGCAACTGGCTTCTCAGGAGGCTCCGTGCTTCCAGCTGTGGTAGCAGCTGTGGATCTGGCTCTGGAGCTCTTGCTGAAACAAGCTGACAAAGGGCTGATTACAACATGGAGTTCAGTTTCTGCTTGGATTCATTTTCCTTTTAACACACTTTGGGTATGAAGAGTTTGCTCATTTACCCTTTTTGTGGTTTTATGTCCTTCACTTCACAGTCATTGGGCTGGTGTGGTGATTATCGCCATTCCTGGTGACCTTCCTTGTGGGGACCTTATACTGTCTCTACCATTTGTGGAACATTGCAATTTGGTTTTGGCTTACTGGAAGAAATTGAAAACTCTCTTCCTCTTCCTTCTCCCTCCCTATCCCCAGAGGCTGTTCAGCATTTTTGTCCAGAATATTACACAGTAAAGTTCTTAGGGTTTGTTTATTTTTTAATTATTTTTATATGCATAGAAGACAATTCAGGAGAAGACCAAATGATACTCACCTGCAGTGAAATCTGTAGAACAGGCAAGAGACTGGGTAAACTCTGCCAGGTGAAGCAAGTAGAGAACTTCTTTTTGTCACTTATTATTAAAGGGAGGAATTCTGATTTCCCAGAACCTGGATGAACAAAACAGCGTTTACCCGTGTGTTCCTAAAGCAGCCGTATAGATATATTCACTTATTGCAGGTCCTTCTTTCCACCTCTGGTTGCATGGGCTTTTTTCTTAATTGCATGCTAAAGAAATAGTTAAGCTACTAAAACATCTGGCCTTGATTCAGCAAAGATTTAAGCACATACTTAGAATTAAACACTTCCATTGCAGAGTCTGCTTTGTGAACTCCCAGATACTTGCTTCTGCTCTCATACTGTGGAGTGTCTCTGGGGAATATCCTGAGACCAAGACAGTCTTTTTCATTACAAAGTCTTTTTTCTTTCAGTCCCGACATCTTTTTAGAAAACAGCTGTATTCTCCAGTTTAATTGAATCCCCAAATTAAATCCCAGTTGCCTCTGTAACTTATTGCTTAAACTCTTCCCTCTTTTCCCCTCTGCTGCTTTTCTTCACATACGATCTTGCTTTTTCTCCTAAGGAAAAATAGATACAGTATGCTCTTCCATCTGTCACTGTCTTCTCCCTCCCTTCCTCTAATCATTTCTCTTTCTCCTCACTGTTAGAGCAGCAGGAGTTTCTTGTCTACTTTCCATCTGTACCCCTTCCACTTGCCCCAGTGACCCCATGTTCTGTTCTTCCTCTTATTTCTCCCCTCCCTTATTCTCTTTCTTGACCTCTCACTGTCATCTGGCTCTTTTCCACTGCAATATAAGCAAGCATTTGCCTCTTAAAAATTGCACCTTTGATCCTACTTGGTTCTTCATATCATATCTCATCGCCTATCTCTTCTTCGTTCCTGAGCTCATTGAAGGCGCTGTTTATAATTACTGTCTGGAGGCCCTCTTCTGTGATTCCCTCCTATAACTCCTACACTTTGGCTTCTGTTCCTTGCTTGCAACTGCAACAGCTCTCACCAAACTCCCTGATGACAAGATCTCAGAAACAGTAGTCTATTCTCATTCTTCTTGACTTGTCAGTAGTGTTTGCTGCACTCTTCTTTAAATTTGTGTCTTTTGTTGTTAACAACTTTAAACTGACCAGACTCTTCTTTAAACTTGTGTCTTTCGTTGCTTTCCGTGGCTCTGTCTTGTTAAGTTCTTCAGCATGTTCTTCAAAGTTGTCTCCCATTTTGGAGGGGTGTGGGTGGAGGTCTCGGGGCTCTGCTTTGGCTGGGTTCTTTTGTGCTTTTAGTGCCTTTTGGGTTATTTCATACACTAGAAATAAAATGTACCAGCCAAACGTATCTGTAGATAACAGATCTACCTTCCTATTGAAACATTTTTCCTTTCACTTAAGCTTGTTAACTTGGAACCACATGCAATTACAAAGCATCCCACCCAGCACTGCCGTAAGTCTAGATGTCTTGGCAAATGCTCAGACCAGACATGTGATTATCTTGCCTCTTTCACATAGGCATGCGTATTTTGTCCTTTCATATGCTAGGCTGTCTGTACCCCTGCTAGCTGTACTCAGCCCTTGCCTGCATCTGTTCCAGCTTGCATTACTTTTTCTACAGATGACTCAAATTGTATCTCTTATTTCCAGTAAGAATAGAGCAAGACTGTGTGAAATGGAAGTCATATTTTATGTCCTCTATTAAAAATGCTTACCCTGATATATGTTTGGAGTGCATTTTACTCTTCTACAGCCTCATTTTAAGCATTTCACTTTCTTTGTCATTGCCATCAACTGAGTCCCATTTCTATTGCTCCTGTCCTTTCTGCATGGAATCCCAATGCTTTTTTTTTTTCGTATTGACAGTACCAAGAAATTTAATGTTGTCACCACATCTCTACTTTTTATGCCAATTCTTTAAATGAAAATATTAGACGAAATTCTGCCAAGGTCATCCATCCTTGATGAACTCTACTGAAAAACAGTTCTTTCATTCTCCACAGGACTTTGTTCTCTCTCTGGTAGGAAGTTCTTTACCTGCAAATTCTTTCAGCAATCCCTATTTTCTCTAGGGATTTAGTATTGAATATCCGATGCCCAGATAGATTATCATATTTTCCTTGTTTAAAGTGCCAGTCTCGTTGCAATGGTGTAAGCATGCGGAGTTCATAATCTCAAACAGATTTGTGTGTTGTAGTAGGCAGATTCCGCAGGTCACCACATACTTTTGTACCCCAGCAAGCCCAGCTGAATTACGTGAACTCAGACGAGTTTCTCCTTGCTGATGTAAGCCACAGGGAGTATTCCCTTGTTCTCGAGATACCTTTCGGTCTGCTTGTACTTTTGTTTGCCCTACTCTATTCCAGATGTCGTTCATGTCACATTATCACTACCAAGTGCACTTTTTGATCTAACATGTAGCTGTTGGGAATATGTAAAGATATATGTAATTAAAGGGGACATATGCACATACATACTGTATGTTTTACTTTATGTTTAGTACTGTTTTTGCTCTCTTCATAATAAGTGCTGAGGCTGATGTTGCAAAATAATTTCGGTAAAAGTGTGTATTCACCAGCTTTAGGCATGTAGTATTATGTAAAAAGCAATCCTTTGGGTCTGAAACTTTTCATGCTTGGTTTCATTTGAAAAACTGTGTATGCTTAAGAAAAATTAAGGAAATTATCCTGAATTGTCTTTGACTTATGTGTCACTGAAAAGCAGGGCAGTGTTTAACTGTTAACAGTAGCTACTTTTTTATCTTTAATGTAGATAAGAAAATTTAGAATTTTGAAACTTAAACAGTGACATCTAAGTTGGGAGTGATATTTAATGGAGTCTATGGCCAAGTTTCAAACACCTGGTTTTCATAATGACATACAGATAATTGAAATCATGCCTAGTAGGCATCTGGACTGGATGTAGTGGACCCAACCACTTTTGTGGAAACAAAATTCATTACCATTTCTTTGTCAGGGCTAATCAAATTCTATTTAGGTTCAAGGTTTGCTTCATTCTTACTGCTACTTTCAGTGTGCCAACATCGTATCCTCATACAAGGGACGGAGTATGTTCTACGCATTAAAATGTTGACATTTTTTTCACAATTTGCTTTTGCCTGTTACTCATCCTAATTTCACTTTCTATCAATCAGTTTCTCCCTCAATTGCAAAGAAACAATACATCCTTTACCCTACAGACCTTGACAACATACAAACTGGCATCTGTTCAATCCCGTTTGCATTATACAGTGTATAATTTTACATTATATCCTTCAGTGTTGAGGGAAAGGGAATGATGGGGGATCGGTGAAGGCTCTTGTTCTTCTATTAAGCAGTTGAGCAACCTCCCACTGGGACTGGGGCTCTGCCTGCCTCTGAATCTGCTGTAAATCCCTCTACAGCCACACTTATTTTGATTTTGAATGGCTGTTTCTGGTTAGTTTAATCCTATTCTTAATCAATTTAAGATAAACAATTAGAAGTTTAATTGGAATTTCATGGCTCTTAATTGTCATTTTAAAAAAAAGGGAAATTTAAACCAAATTCGATGCTAATAGCATTAAGACTGAACAGTGGAGGCTTGGTTGTGGCTTTCAGTTTTTGTGCTTTGTGGAGCCACTAGCTGAGAGACAGAGTCTGGCTTCTCAGTTTCTTCTTGTCCCAAGGCATACCTAAACTACAGCTTGCAATGGACCTATAATTTTTCTGGGGCATTGGGGCAGAAATTGCAGAGATAGAGAGTGAGAGCTACCCCATTCACCACAGTTCTAATGACTTATGAGATTGCGGGGTTGTTATAAGTTGCTTGTGTCCATGTATTGCTCTCTGTGATCTGGGTAGCTGTCACAAGGAAGAAAATGGTACCTTCCTCTGAATACCTTGTGTGGGCCAGCCAAGGCAAAACTTGAGCTGACCCTTACAACTTCAGAAGGTAGCAAGAAAAATTGAAGTCTCCTGCAGCAGTATTATCTTGGCTGCATTGACAGTCCTTTACAACTTGTGACATAGACTGTGCATAAATAAAGCTATAAATCTCTATTCTGTAATTAAAAAAGAAAATTGATAAACCTGCTGTTTTCATCTGATGTAATTTTAACTTTTCATTCAAATGGGTAGTCTACATTGACTGGCTTAAATATTCTAAATGGTATTTGAATGTGTATGGATGCATACACATATGCATATGTAAAACAAAGTATATTTGTGTGTTCTTTTTATTGTAGGTATGTGTCATGTGCATTGGGATGCCCATATGAGGGAAACGTCATACCAGCTAAAGTGGCAGAAGTAAGAGTGGACTTCTGGCTTGTCTTCTTAATGAATCAAAAATACATTTTAAAATGTCTATAAGTAATATTCTCTACTTAATCCTAAAAAGATCTTTAATGAATGAAATTTAAGTAAAACAAACACAAAACATAGCTAATACAAAAACTGGGTGCATAGCCTCACTGAAATATACGCAGTCAAATCTAAGGAAAATAGTATGTTTTGATTGTTATCAGTCATGAGGAAAAATATTAGGTGCTATTTCCTCCAAAAACAAGGTAAGGAAATGCTTAAGGAAATAGACTCAAGCACATACGTCAGTGGACCATGTTGTACAAGATGATTTCCAGCACAATCTCTTGCAAAGGTTATCCGCTTTTAAATCCATTTTATGCTGGCGTAAGCATACTGTGCTGTCAGCTGGTAGAGCCACTGCTACAACACCGTGCTTCTGGCAAGTGTCATGTGATTGACCCGTGAACGCAAACTCATCCCCAACATGATTTCCTACTACTTAACTTGCTCTACTGCTATGGTGGAATAAGCTGCACCTTCCCTTCCCACGCACTTTTCCCATTTAGGATAAAGGAGAAGAAAGCTGACATCTTAGTCCAGGTTTTTTTTCCAGTAGAGAAAGTAGTGAGTGAAACACAAGTGTTAAATTTTGCAGGAAGGCAAAGAGGGCATGAAGGCTGAAAGGGACAACAGAGAAGAAAGTAGAAAGAATTGAAGAGGCACATGCAGAACACACTGGCCTTCCTCTTGGAGAAAGACTTGTCTTTGTTACACTTAATCACCTACTTTTGGTGATCTAGCAAAGTCTCCAAACCACTTTTTTTTTTTTTTTTCCTTTGTAGCACTAGCAGCTGGTCAACTTTTGTCTGATATATTGTGTTCTCTGTGTGTGGCTTTCAGGTCTTGTTCTCCTGCATCTTCTTCTAGTATACATTCCAGATGGAACTAGTGATAATACTTCTCCAACAGCAGTCGCATATACTCACACTCTTTGAAAAAAATAGCTGAATTGGAAGGTACTCGGCATTTCTAAATTAATTGGGTATAATATGAAGTGAAAGTTGGAAGTGACATAGCTTTAGAGTGGTGATGACAGATTCAGCTGTGCTGTTGGTAAATTGCTTACTGCAATATCATGTTCCCCAACAGGCTTCTTTTCACGTGTTGCTTAGTTTTTAACTGCTCTCCTTGCACAGAAGAGCTACTCTTCAGTTTGCCAGTGGGAGTGCTTAATGTTCCAAACCTGCAAGTTTTTACTCATGCAGATATTTTATTTTCTGTCTTCATCCTAATAATAGAATCACAGAATGGTTTGGGTTGGAAGGGACCTCAAAGATCATCTAGTTCCAACCCCCTTGCCATGGCAGGGACACCTTCCACCAGACCAGGTTGCTGAAGGCTCCATCCAACCTGGTCTTGAACACTGCCAGGGAGGGGGCAGCCACAGCTTCTCTGGGCAACCTGTTCCAGTGTTTCACCACCCTCAGGGTGAAGAACTTCTTTCTTGTATCTAGTCTAAACCCGCCCTCTCCCAGCTTCCAACGATTAGCCCTCATCCTATCACTACAGGCCCTCATAAAAAGTCCTTTGTAAAAAGACACTAGTAAGTGTCTTGTGTACCTGCACACCATTGTGTATGTGTTTAAGAATAAAAGCTGCCTCATTAAAGTTACTGATGCCCTGATACGTCAAGCACTGATGTTTATATAGAAGCATCTGATTAGCTCTTAATGGATTTTACATAAAAGCATGCACTCATCCTTTGCTAAGTCAGAATTATCCAAATTACTGGCCATGCTGTTAAACCTTTTCAGAGAGCTGCTTTTGTGTTCATCATCTTTCTCAGGATGAGAGTGTGTGACTCCCTTGATTGTGCATTGCAATTGACACCTATTATTGAAAGGTTTAGACTGTTTCTTCTGCAGCCAATGACAGTGACCATTTTTAAATTTTTTTTTATTTTTTTAAGCAAAAGATTTTTTAACTGAAGCAAAACCAATTAGGAGAGGTGGCTCATTAACCAGACTACATGCATTTCTGTCTTGCTAGGTGCATAATTGTTTTACACATAGTTACCTAGTGAGTGCAAACTTCAGATGCCTTCAGACTTCTAGAACCCATCTGGTACATCCATGCAGTTCTTTATTAAAAAAAAATAAACATTTCTCATCTATTGGAATAAACTGCATAGTCCTTTTTTATCACTCGGCTTTTTCTTGAAATGGAGTTACTGTTTAACTGTTTATCATCCTGTGGTTTGTGAATTTCAACCTTAGGCAAATAAGGCCTGAGAGTTATTGGAAGCACCACATAACATCCTTGGAGCCAGCTGTGTTACCCATTGTCTTCCAATCATATACTTGGCTGATTTCATCTTTCTGCCTGCTTCTTTCTCTCCTTAGCTTGCTTTTAACCTAGAGCGGTGAATTCCTATGAGTGTTATCTAGCGTACAGTCTGATCAGGCTACAGAAAATGTGCCTATTCTTATGTGAATGCTGTTGGATTATTACAATTTCCCTTACATCACAAGGACTGTAGTGTGGTTTTATGTTGTTATTTGCTTAAAATCACCTGTAACTCAATTATGACTTTTTGTATATAGTTTAACAGTATAGTTTTAGATCTAATTTCCAGCAGTAGGACTGTTCACATGCCTAAGGGGTTGCAGTGTTGGGTCACCAGTTTCCATTTTGATCAATGCTTGGTGTCAGGGCAGTGTTCCCAAGGGGAGTAGCACAAGACTCATGCATAGTAAAACTGCTTAGTGGTGCAGAACTGTTCAATCAACAAAGCTGCAAGCTCGTAATCACATTCTGATTACGCTGACAAAACAATGTGTTCTCTTCTCCCCCACCCTCCTCCCAAAAATCCACATTGAAAACTTACAAAACTATAACTAATGGGCTCCCTCCTACTATGGTAGGATAGAAAATCCAATACGAAAAACGCCCATTCAGGTTCCAAGCATGCACATTCTTCTTGAAATTAAATATAGACCTGGTTTTAAGGGTCAATTTAAGGTTAGATCATGACAAGTCACTGATGATGCTCAGCTTGTTAGCAGTTTCCCCCTCTCTTCTTTCATCTTTCAAAACTTTGTTTTCAGAAGCTGAAAGACCTAAGGACTGAGCATGGGAAAGAAGTGAATGCAACATGGTTTCTAGCAGTTTATATAGTCTCTTTGTCATCACTAAAATGCTCATCTAGAAAAACTTTGAATCATGAATGGAAAAGAACATGAGAAAAAAATTCAGTCTGCTTCTTTAACCCTGATTTTAAACAAAACTTGAAGTTTGGGTATTAACTAGAGGTAATCTACCACTACCTGCAGATGATCTTTTTTTTTTCTTACAGCAGAGTCCAGTTAAAACACCTGCCCTGTGCTGATAATATAAAAATATGCTGCAAGATGGAATCTTTTTTGCAATCTGGTGAATATTCCTTTCGTATTGAATTTATGTTGATGCAAACCAGGGGCTCTTTGACTTTAAAGCACAAAGAGTTTTACTACCTTTGCAACAGTCATAGCACTTCCAAGCTTTAAGCAGAACGATTCAGACTGCTTGAAGTTCTTTTTCAGCTGTTCTTTGAATTAAGTGAACAGCAATATTAATCCAGCACTTCCGAGACTGCTGGTGCAGCACTTTGTCAGCTTCCTCAGACGTATTCACAGCAATCCCACTGATGAAATCCTGGAATTGCTTTAACAGCAGAGTGCAGTGCAACTGAAGATGTCTTGGAAAAGGGTTGTATTTTTTCATTTCTAAACAGTTAATTTCCAGACTGGGATTCTGTTCCAGTGGAGTGACCTTTCGGGATTGCTGAAACACAGTGGGGAGTACTAAAGGGGACAAACATACTCAGCAACTGAAAATAAGGTGAAACCCTTTCCAAATAAATTCAGCAAAACTAAGATGGAAAGATCCTACATTCACTTTCTAAAGCAGCATTTTTGGTGCAAACACAATTTTGTGCTTCCCTGTGTATGTCTCTCTCCATACAAACATTATGAAGACAGACCTCAAATCTCTTACTCATACAAAGAATTCCTCAAAGACATAATTCCAGAAACATTTAGGACGCTGCTTACATAAGTAAGAACTATTTGTAGAGGATTTTTTATGATATTAAGAAAAAATTTAGAACATAAAGACTAGAATGTTGTTACAGTTTTGCTTAGTATTTTAATGTTTGATTTCATGAAAAGCAAGCAAAATTAATATAAACTACAACATGTTAAAACTTCAGTTTTCATTGATGTTTTCAGTACCAAGAGAAAGCAAAATCAGGCTTCTTGTTAATTATTTATTGTCTTAGTTCAGCCATGTGCTTGGCTCCGTGTAATAAGCAAACAAAAGGGCAGGTCTTTACCCTGCACAACAGCTGGGAAATCCCCGGAGAGAGGAAAATGTTGGGAAAGGGCTTGACAGAAAGTTAATTGATAGTGTAAAATCTTGCTTGTTTGGATTCTGTGAGAGAGTCAAAAAGCAAGTTTTTGATGGTTTTGGCTTGGTTGGTTATTCCATGTACAGAAGCAGAACTATAAATTTAAACTAACAGGATCTACCAGATGTTCTTCTTGGGTGACAATTTTCAAGAATTAATAGAGGTTTTCTGGTACGTTTTGGCGGGTCAAAACCTGAAACCTCTACAGAAGTGTGTCCTTTTTAATATATGTTCTTGACCTTGTTTTATATTCTTTCATCTTGACCTTTTCATGCTTCTCTGTTTCTAATCAGGTATCTAAGCGGCTGTACAGTATGGGCTGTTATGAAATCTCTCTGGGGGACACAATTGGTGTGGGGACTCCTGGAAGTATGAAAAGAATGTTGGAAGCTGTTATGAAAGAAATTCCTCTGAGTGCTCTTGCTGTTCACTGTCATGACACGTATGGCCAGGCGTTAGCCAATATCCTCACAGCCATACAGGTAACTCAGGTTCTTGTTTTATAGAGGTGATAACAGTAGTCTTAGTTTAATTCAAATGCACAATATTAAAAAAAAATCAGCCTCAAAGAAATTACTAGAAAAGGAAAGGCACACACTAAACTTTCAGAAAGTATTGCTCACACGTAAGATTGTCTACAAGTATTACTGCTGCTGCTTTGCAAGAAAATTTCAATTCTTACCTACTTTTTACTGTCAATTCCATACAAAATTGCTAAGAAGCAGTAGTGATTATTATATTCCGTTGATTTTGGATGAATGAGGGAGATAAAATATAATTTTTTGTGATGTCTCAATTCCACTTTTCTGAGGAACATCTGCATATTCATTGTTCACTAAATTAAAATTTCTGTTTTACAGAGGTGTCTAAATATAAAATACAACAATGCATAATTACGTCTAGATTTCAGATGGATAAATCTAAGTTATTGGTAATTATGTACACAGAGTGGTCTAAATAATTTTATCAATGTTAACATGCTGTCAGTATGCTTTTTTATAAATTATCCAAATAAGGATAACCACAAATTTATATCCTATTTAATCTTTCAAATCTGTGGCTATATAATCAGCCAATTTCCACAAGATATATTTTTCCCTTTGTGTTTTATATATTTCTAAGAATAGAATGCAATATGAGAAACAGACTCCAAGCTCAAATGTAGCTTTTGTAATGATATAATCTTGAAAAATATCTTACTGTGTACATACATTCCTAAGGTGCCCTGTTTTTACTAAATGTTACAGAATCAAAAGCTGTTTACAAATTATAGGCCTTATTGTTCTATTTTATACCTAATGGCATCTTCTGCTTCCCTGCAATTCAGGCAGCCATTTTTAAGGTCAACTTTCCTTTGTCCTGACTTGTTATTTTGGCAGAGCTCATATTATGTTGTTTAGAAATAACAGCAGTGCATTGACAATATTAGTGATACAAGCAACAAGAAGGAACAGGGAAATGTTTCAATATGGGAATCTCTGCAGGTATTTGATAAAGTACTGAATGACGAAATCTGGTAAAAAGGGTTCTAACTTTTACTCACAGTGTTTCTGTTGACCCTTACTCACTTTCACTGTTGCAAATGTGTGTGTATGTACATGGCATAAATAAATCGCTATTTTCACAGGTAGCTTCGGTTGCAGATGTCATAGCTAAAAGCATGAAAACCCTTGAGCATGGGATGAGTTTGCCATGAAAATACTTGAAGCATTGTTTTTCAAATCCGTCCTTAAAATAATTGCTGTCATGGTGCCTACCAAACACTGAATGGTGGTTATGCATTGTTAACCCCAGTGTTTGTTGTATGTGATTCATGTTTCAGGTTTACCTCCTGCTCCTATCATTTTATTTACTTCTTAAATTAACTGTGTAAGAGTTACAGGGGAAAAAAGCTCTTGGGTACCTAATGTGCAGTTCGGGTTAATTACCATGTAAATTCTAGCGAGTAATAGACCTAAAACAACTCCCTATGCAACCTCAGAAGCCAGGGGTGCCTGAGACCCACAAGAAAACTTCCCTATGTGCTCAAGTTCTGCTACAGTGCATGTCTAAAGGTGAAGTGGTTTTGGCTGAGTTGAATGTGTCATAGATTTTGCCAAAAGTCCTTGATGAAGCAGGCATTACACAGTCTCTCTGGCTGGCTTTGTGGAAGCAGCTCCATGGCTTGCTGCAAAGTAGGTCCCTAGGCTCTTGGATCCACAAGTGGGGGCTTGCACGTCACAATGTCCTCTCCTGTCTCTGGTCAAAGAAATGACACAGTGGTGAATTATGGCTAAGAAATACTCTTTCTAAAACAGGACAACTTTTACAGGTCAGCCGGGTGGTAAAGTGCCAAAGCCAGTGGATCAGAGTGCCGAGGCCACTTCTAGCCCCTGCTGTCAGGCTTGCCTGTACTTTTCTCTCTGCCAAAGATACGTGAATGGCAAAGTACTGGAGTAAAACCCCTTGTCCTCTACTCAGATGTTCATTTCATAGACCAGACTCTCCAAGGACACAATTCCTTACCCTTCCTCCTTTATGGGTCTGTGCAACCAACCCAATATTTCATCAGGAGTGAAATGTGTTTGAGGGGTTGTAGAAATAATGGGCTACGGTTATTGTTTGAAAGCAATTTTATAGAACATTCAGCATGCAAATTACCCTCTTCCTAAGACATTGCAGACTACAACCTCAGGCTGAGTACTATTGTACTGTATATTGTACTTCCTAAGAATTAATGAATGACAGCTGGAAAGCCACAAATCACTCTGCACTAATTCAGGCATTGCTTCGATGGGAGATCTCCTAAGGAGTGGAAAGAGGTGCTGGTGATTCAGTATGTGATTTTTTATACAGATCACATTGTTCCATGCAGGATTATACTACCCAGAATATTTTCTTTTGTTTGGGGCTGATCCAAAGTCATCTAGAACTGACAGGCCGTATCTGTATAAGAAATTAGCAGGGAAGTAGTCTTGTAATTTTAGTATTCAGTTTTATGTGTGTTGTTTTAGCAAAAGGATAAGTAGTGAAAGATGGGAGAGAGATTAGCCAACTTTTAAAGGATAAGTAATTTTTTAAGTTGTTGGAATGAATAATATAGATAGAAAGCATTTGCTAGAGAAAGGAAAGTCACTTTCTTTTATGAAGAGAATTGTGTAAAAATGTGAGGAACGTAAAGTGATTCTTCAGAACAAAACAGTAAACATTTAAAGTAGAAACATGACTGGCTCTTGGTTAAATGGTTTAATATAAAAATATCAGAGTATACAATTTGCCAAAGAGACAAATTCAGAAGATGGGAAGTGATGTGGTGATCTAGTTAGAGGTTGTGGTATTTTGAGTAGAATTACATGTGTGGGTTAGCTAATGTGACAAACACAAAATGTAGCTAAAAGAAGTAGTAAAACATTTATAGGAAATTGTTATAGACCTCCAAGGAAGGATAAAAAGATGGGTCAGGAAACTTCTGTGCTGGAGAGGCCCCAATAAGGTAGACCATTGATCTGAGGAGATTTGAGTTACCTTGACAATTGACTCCTGTAGTGTGTGCAGAACGGCTAAGAAAGGGGAAAGTTTTTTACTGGAAGTGCTACAAAACTCTGTTCTTGCATAACTTGTGTAGGTGCCAGAAATAGCTTTGTCTGTTTTCATTGCACATATCCAAACATGAGAAAAAAATATACTAAGAGGCAAAGAGGAGTTTTGGCTGGCAGTGATACCTCAATGAATGAAACAATCGCATGGTAATCCCATAGAACTTTATCAAATTCAAATCGCTATCGTAATTCATGAACATAAACTGCTCCCTACACTGCTGGGATCAAATCCTAACTTGGAGAAAACAAGCATAAAACTAATGACTTACAGGGAGCAAGGATTTTTACCACCTTGTGTAATCATTTCCACCTTATTGGACACAATGAGGTGAATGAGATTGATGATTTGCCAAATGAAATTACTTTTTATTAGTGCTTCCTTTTTCCAGAAAACAGGAATTTTGAAATAAAATCCACACTTTAGTACCAGAAACAGAATTTATCAATACTCTAATTAAACTTTCGAAGTTCAGACTGCAAAATACAAATTTGTGAATGCGGGTTTTCATTACAAACATTATAATATATCCCCTTACATAGAGTTTAAAATATTTAGTACTATTTCATTAATGTCTTTAAGATCCTTGAATTTTAAAGATTAAATAAATTTAATTTTTTTAAACCCAAATAGAAATGCCTGGCTGCTGACCTCTTCCCTTCATCACTTAACTAAATAGATTCTAGCCCCTTTGGTGCATGCTGGAGAGACTAACCAACTTGCACATTTTTGTGCATCCAGTTTACTTATGTAATAAGGACTAAGTTCACACAAAGGCACTCAGTGTTGATATGGCTAAGTTTTAAGTGCCAGAACCAGGAGAGGAACCTGAACGTGGGTGCTGAAGTTCAGGGTTTATTAATTCAGAAGGATCATTGTGTTACAGAAATAGAGTTCACAATGGCCAGCAGCCTGAAATGGTAGGGCCTAAGTTAAGCAATTGAAAAAAGTCTGTGTTTAAAATTCCCTCCTTCATGATTCATGTGAGCTTACATGTGAAGCCCTAGGTGAGATTAATTTTCCACCCAAAACCAGCTCCTACATGTAGGTACCTGGCTTGTCCTCATTTTTTCAAATACAGGATTTGCTGTTTGTGGCTGTTGAGCTTGCCTGTAGTGACAGGCTGTCAAGACCTCTTTCAGCTGGTGGTTAGAGGCTGGCTCACTGCTCAGATCTCTTGCCTAGGAGTTGCTTGCTGCTAAGGAGCCTCAGTGGGGGCTCCCCCTCTTTCACTTGGCAGTGGCTTTAAACCTGAATCTCTTGTGCTTGGTTCCCACCTGAGCTATTCTGGAGCTGCGTTGCAATTGTGCTTGCTCCCAGTCTCGTAGCTCTCTGATTCTCATCTGCTGGCTTGACTTACTGGCTTAGACCTGGCTGATCTGCGACTGATCCTGGTTACTGCCTCCAGACCTGATCCTGACCTTGAATCTTTTAGTTTGTGAAATGCTAAATAATATCTACAAAGGGAGAGCATCAGATAAGTACGAAAAGGTTAAAAAAAGCTAAGGTGTATGCATAGGTAAGTGATCAAAATACATACATAGCGAATCAAATTATCTAAGTTCTGTAACATTCCATTTCCTTTCCCCTGCACAGCCTGGCACTCATAAGAATTTATGCAGGACAATGTGGGGGTAGGAAAGACTTGCTGTATGAAGCATCCCCATGTCTTGGGATCTTGAAAAATTGCTAACATTTTTGCATTCCTATTTTGAGAAACGCATAGAAATGGAAAGGTTTCAGCAGACCTCAGAAGTTTACTTTCCTCTGCTGTTTACAAGGATATGCTAGGAAACTGCAGAAGACTTAACAGAGATCTCCAGAAACTAATTTCAGGGTTCAGATAGGGAAACATTAGAAAACACAGCATGACTGAGAATAGCTGTACGGGATTCAGGAAGGGCTG